GGCCCCCAGGGCTCAGTTAATTTGGCGCTGTTAGTCTCCTTGTGTGGTTCCTGTCCTCTCCAGGTCTTTCTCTCTCCCCCTTCTTTCATAAGATTCCCTGTACACTGCACAAAGTTTGGCTGTTAGTATCACCTCTGAGAATTTTCTTAATTGCTAATTGATATAGGAGAGCCCAGTCCACTGTGGATGGTACAATCCTTGAGCCGAAGATCCCATAATGTATAAGAATGCTAGCTAGCTCCTGTCTTGTTCCCTGTTTTCTCCATCTTCGGAGGTCTAACCTGTTTGCCTTTCTGAATGAGGATTGAGACATCTTACCCAAGGTCTTCCTTCTTGCACTCTTCCCAGCAGGGTCTCAAAACATATGCTGAGACTCATAACCAAACTTTGGGCAGAGTACAGGGAATCTTATGAAAGGGGCAGATAGAAAGACCTGGAGACGACCTGGTGCACCACAAGGAGAGCAAGAACAGAACCAAAAAGTCTGGGCCCAGGGGTCTTTTCTGAGACTGATATTCCAACCAAGGACCATGCATGGAGAAAACCTAGAACCTCTGCACAGATGTAGCCCATGGCATCTCAGTCTCCAAGTGAGTTCCCTAGTAAGAGGAACAGGGACTGTCTCTGACATGAACTCAGTGGCTGGCTCTTTGATCACCTCCCCTGATGGGGGAGCAGCCTTACCAGGCTACAGAGGAAGACAATGCAGACAGTCCTGATGAGACCTGAGAAGCTATGTTCAAATGGAAGTGGAGGAGGACTTCCCCTATCAATGGACTGGGGAAAGGGCATGGGAGGAGAAGAGGGAGGGAAGGAGGACTGAGAGGGAAAGAGGGAGGGGACTACAACTGGGATACAAAGTGAATAGGTTCTAATAAATAAAAAAAAGAATGCTAAATAGTTAAGTAAAATCTGGGAAGGAAAGCAATACCCTGGGTTTCTCCATGTGTCCATTCCAGGTATCTGCCTCCACGCTACTACCTTGAATTTCTACCTAGACATTCCACAATGGTTTAATGTAACTTGTAAGATGGTATTGGTGTTTATCATAGCAACAGAAAGCAAACATGAACATGTTCAGTTCACAACTTCCTTCTTCATGACCTATTTCACCTCTTCACTATTATAAACAATGTAGTGAATAAGCAAGGAATATCAATATCTTCAATATATGGATCACATTAACATTTGTTATTTCAATTTAATTTATTTATTTCGTATACTCCATCAGGGGTGAGAGTGTGTGTGCCATGGCATTTTTGGAAGTCAGAATGACTTTCTCCGTTTGGATCCTAGGGAAATAACTCAGATTATCAGGGTAGGCAGGCAACTTTAGTCACTAAGCTATGTCATTGGCCATGACAATATTTTAAAAATATATACTCTGAAGATGGGTATTCCTGAATCATATGATAGTTCTACTTTTAAAGAACATTTGTGATGTTTTCCATAGTGATTGCACTGATTTGTATTCCCACCAAGAGTGTACAAGTGCCCCTGTTCTCCGTACCTTTGTGAATACTTGCTGTATATAGCCTTTTCATGATAAACATTTTAACATATCTAAGATTCATGGTGGTTTTGATTTACATTTATCTGATAATTAGTAATGTTGAGTTTCTTTTCATGTATTGGTTGATAATTTGAATGTTTTAATGGAAAGTATATTCTCAAGTTAATGGTCTACTTATAAATTACCTTAGAACATAATAACTTAGAAATAAATTCACATGTACATGCTGCTCTCATTTGTTCTCTGTTGCTGTGCTAAAATGCTTACCAAAACAAACTTGAGGGAGCAACGGTTTTATTTCTCTTCCACATTTGATCACAATCCATTATTGAGGAACATCAGGACAGGAATTCAAGCAGCATCAGAGGCAGGAATCATGGGGTTATACTACTTACTGGCTTGCATTCCGTGGCTTGCTCGGTCTGCTTTCTTATACACTCAGGGATGATACCATACACAGTAAACTGGGGCCTCCTATATCTATCATTAATCAAGAAAATGCCCCACATACATGTCCTTAAGGCAAATATGATGGAGGTAATTCCTCAATCAAGTTTCCTTTTCCTAGGTGATTCTAGCTTGTGTCCAACTGTCAAAATCTCAGCATGCACAGTCAAATAACTTTAAACAAAGGTGACACAATAGGAAAATTCTGAAGTCTTTTAAATAAGGGCTATTGCAAAAAGTATATTTATATGCAAAAAAGGGAAACTGAGTCTTGGTCTTACACTATATAAAATTACCAAAATAATGTAGACTTACATTTGAAGGTTCAAAACTGGTAGGAGGAGAAAACCTTCAGATAATGCAGAGGAAAATGCACTTAAACATTGTGTTTAACAATGTTCATTTGAATATGGCATGAAAAGCACAAGCAAGTGTGGGTCATCATACTAAAATCCTTCTGCAGAGCAAAGGAAACAGCTTGTATTTTCCAAACTTAGATAACCACTAGAATTGTCTCTTTGCTCTTTCCATTCACCACTTTACAATTTGCATTGTAGTAAGCTTTTTTCCATATCTGTATGAACCCTTGCTTGATTTAAAGTACTATGAAGGTTATAAGGACCCCCTCTCTTATATATGATATACACATATTTCTTGTACTTTCATTCCATTAGCCAACTTCATTATTTTCAGGAAGTTGAACTTGTAGACTATTACAAAATATTTTATTTCCTCTCTATCTGTTTCTGTTTCCCACTGAGGGTACAACTTGAAGGCAAATGTCTACAAGCACAGGATAGCTTCTTCAGGAACTGCACTTGTTGATCTGTTCATCTTGAACTCCTAGCCTTCAGACTGTGAAAATTAAATTTGTTTTAAGACTACACATCAACAAACCCCAGCACCATGCCCACTTTGCAAAAGCAGCCAGTACAGAGTTTAGAGGATTTGTCTATCAACTCCACCGCACATTATCAGAAGATCAGACAATTGCATACCATTTCCACAAGTACAATTATTACTTTTTTTATCTTTTTTTAATTTTATTTTTCTTTTTAGTTACATTTTGTTAACTCTGTGTCCCAGCTGTATCTGCTCCCTCATTCCCTCCCCAACCCCACATTCCCTCCCTGGTCTCTTCCCTGCACCTTTTCACATCCACTGATAGGGAAGCACCTCCTCCCCTTTCATTTGACCCTTTTGTATCAGGTATCTTCAGGGCTGGCTGCAAAGTCCTCCTCTATGGCCTAACAGGACTGCTCCTCCCCTGGGGGGGGGGGGAGGCCAAAGAGCCTGCCCTTGAGATCCTGTTAGAAATAGTCCTTGTTCCCCTTACTTTGGAAAACTACTTGGTTACTGAGCTACCACGGGACACATCTGAGCAGAAGTTCTAGGTTATATCCATAGATGGTCCTTGGTTGTGTGTCAGTCTCAGAAAAGACCCTGTGCCCGGATATATTTGGTCCTTGTAGAGCTTCTATCCTTTCCATATCGTACTAATTCCCCTTTTTTCATATGATTCCCTGCACTCTGCCGAGGGTTTTTCAAAGCAGACACTAAGTACAATTATTCTTGACCCAGGATCAATAGAGCTAACTGCCCATAGATATCCAAAAATCTTTCCTCTCAGAATTTCTACTTGGTCATATTCATTAGGAATACCTTCTCCATTTCTACCTCTTTTAACTTTACCTTTAGGCAAAAGGATCTTCATCATCCTACTGATATCAAAAGTTCATATTCAAAAATTCGAAGAGAAGAAATTGATAACATCTTGCAAATTGAAAAATTAGTTTTATTTCCAAGAGAGTCTCACTGTGGATACTTAAGGGTAACCTGCATTCCCAGAAGTAGATGGCCACCAAAAAAGAATTCACTGACATCTTTGAAAGTTCCTTATGTCATTATAATGTCTTGTCAGGAATCTTCTTTTAAAAAAGAGCTTTAGTTTTTATTTTGTTTACATATATTTTCTCTCTTTTTTTAACCCTCCAGATCCTTAGTGTATATATTATGAATTTCAGTTTAGTGTTTTTATGGAATTCCTAAGTATGAAAACAAGTGGGGCTCTATTTCTTGTGCCTTTTCTTAGGCTATTTTCCTTCTTTTTTTGTCCAATTTCTGATGTGTTAGTTTATGATATTATATGACATGATACAATATATTATATTATATTATATTATATTATATTATATTATATTATATTATATTATATTAT